ACACACACACACACACACACACACACACACACACACACACACACTCCACAAATGTGGAGAGCACATCAGAGACAGTTTACTGAGCTGTGATATCAGGATGGCAGCTGACTCTGTGTCTGCATCACTTTTCATTTAGTAAAAACTGTTTCTGCAGCAGTTTATGACAAATTTCATTTTTCAAGAATTATTCAGGGATCATTCACTGATGTGTAGTATACCCTCACTTTATTTATAGAGAGTTACTCAGACAACCTAAAACTCCAGGTCCTGTCCATATAAATGCACAGACTGGACACAAGGTATCCAGCTGCTGTTGTTCCTCTGAGACGAAAGATGGCGGCTAAAAGGCGCCGGTTCCATGCGGGGATTAAGCCGCACATTGATCTTCGTATGTTCTGGGAGAACTGAATGCACGACTGATGCTCTTGAGAGCTTCTCTCCTACACGCTTGACCAAACAGGCATTTGTATTTCCTCTGACCACTTTGCCACAGATAGCATGTTGGTGCCCTCTTGTGGTCAAGTGTGTAAGACATGCTGTCCCCTACCTCCATGACAAGTGAGCGAGGTGTCTGCATGGTCACAGCCATGGAAACGCGACTCTGCGGGCTGTGTAATAGCCGACAGCATTGCTCTGTTTTTCAGCGTGTTTAATGTTTTCATGTGTTTTACAAAACGTGACAGCGCTGTGGGCAAACTGCCTGGATGCACGTAACGGCACAGTTTTAATACAGAGTGCATGAAGAAGTGCTCGTAAAACAACACGGAAAACTTTGCATCGGTTTCCCTCTGGTGGCTATGGTAACATCCACCCAAAGACTGCTTCCCAGCCCGTGGATTCTTGAGAGCCCCTGCACCTTCTCTACTTTAGGGATCCTGAAACGGTGCCACAGTTTCAAAGCCTCAGCATCTCTCTTTCCTCCTCACATCTCATCTGCATCTCTTCATCTGTTCTTCTGACGACTGCACCGGAGACATTGATCTTGTCAACAAGGAACTCCTTGACAAGGAGTTCCTCTTTTTCCTTAGTTGTGAGGTTGGTGAGCCTGAGCCAGAATCACCAGGCCTGTGGCTCTCCCAGTAGCCACTAATTTGTGGAGGCAGAGGACGTGGAGGACGTGGTCAGTGAAGATGCAGAGTTCTTCTCACACACTGGTGTCTGGTTTAGCTGTCCTGTGGGCTCTCGTTGACAGAGCAGCTGCTTTGTAGCACTTATCAGTAAGGAAGCGGCCTTCCTTCCAGGGGAGGGACGGGGCTAAGAAGATGACTTTGGGTAAATGATAGATGGACTGATTTTTGCATATGTAAGCTGCGTGCTTACACATATCTTGCATGTTGAAATCCAGGGGAGACGCCATTGGCAGGTTTATCAACCTAGCTGGTAGCTGAGTGCTTTGCAGCCCAGCTGATGCTAGCCAGGGAGTTGGAGTCCACCTCCTTGTTGTCAGGCAGCAGGAACTGTGAGTCGGCCGCCTCTTCATTCTCGTTAAAACCTCCTCCCTGTTCTTGTAGCATCTCCTCCCATATGAACTCCAGCAGGGGAGAAACCCTCACATCCTCCATGTGGCTCCAGCAACAGGAAAGTGGTAGTGATGGTCTGTGGGTCTCATCTGCCCAGCTCACGCCTGGTGCTGCAGCCAGATCCTCAGGTATCTCCATTTCGCCTTGCTCTGCAGCAGCCACCTGACAGGTTAGCCTGGTGAGTACCCTACTGTGGAGCAGTTTGTGTGGACAAGCCACGCAGTGGATACGATCATGAGTGGATCAAAAGGCAGCCTGAGCATGCGATGAACCTATGCATGCTCCACACGGGTGTGCATCTCAACCTGAAGTCTTTTTGCATCAAGGATAGTTTTCTAACTTCCCTTCCATCTTCACTGTGTACGGCTCTGGACCCTGTAGCTCCTCTGAAAAAGTGCTTGACTCCGTGGTATAATTCTCAGACGCACGACTTAAAAAGCAGGTAACTTGGAAGCTGGATAGAAAATTGAGTCTCACTAATTTAGACGACCATCATGTAGCCTGGAAAAAGAGTTTGCTGCTCTCTGTTAGAGAGAAGAAATGACTCATAACCTTCTCATGAATGTAAAATTATGCACAGCTGCTTTGAATAGCATTTATATTAAACGCCTTTCCTCCAGTTGAATTTTACAGAGATGAGCTTGCTCGTGTGTGCGCTCTGAGTCAGTCATCAGCTGGTTCTCTTCGCTGAAGAAAGCCTGGCAGACCTGACCTGGGGTCTGCCAGCCTTCCTCTGTCCTTGCTGCCAGCAGCTGGAAGCAATAATAATAATGATGATGGTAAATGATGAATAATTAAAAATAATAAATCATTAATTAGTTATCAATACATCAGAAAAACAGACAGTGGCACTGTAGTTACGACAGATGCTGTGAGTCCACACACAGTTTGACATCTTATAAAACAAATATGGAAGTTTCTCCCTTCGAGTCCCTGTCGAGCTGTTTAGCAGTAATGCCACTGAAACCAGAGATCCTAATCCAACCCTATTTTACAAAGACCAGGTGTATGTGCAGAGCATTGATGAGGGTCCTGAGGCTCTGTTTTCTAAGTGGTTGTTTCTCAGCAGGTCAGTCGCTGACAGCCATGGAGATGCTGAGCAAAGCCGCTCTGTCTTATTGCCATTTGGGGAAGAATGAAGGCGCCGCCTGCCGCTCGCTGCTGACACTCTGCAAATGGTTGCTGGCCGACTGGAAGGACATGACGCCTCAGCTCAAACAGGTTTACTGCTTTTTGGAATATTTGGTAATGATAATCACGTATGCAAAGAGCTGTGCCTAACGTGAAAGCAGTACAGTGAAGTTAATAGAACACAAGAACATTAAGAATCGGACCAATGATGGGACCTAACCCTCTAACCTGCTTTGGCTCAGCCGATATTTGTCCGGGTTAAGAGAAGCAACATTTCCTCTGTTACTCAAGTCTAAGTAAGTGAAAGCTGACCCAGGTCTGTGTTAAACAGCCAGATATGCACACCTACTTTGGAGACGCACAGCTTGTGGTGGTGCTGATTGTCTTCTCCACCAGAAGCTTCTGACGTGTCCAGGTTGCTGCAGAGCCAGCTTCCCTGATCACTTTATTCAGCCCACAAAGTGCACTCGTCTCCAGCATTGTGAAGATTGTGTTCAGTGTTGGTGCAGGCGATCGGATTATGTTGCTGGGGTGGACAGGTGCCGCATATACCATAAGGAAAGTGAAAAGCCCAGGTTGTAATCCACCATGGAGGCATGTGCTGCCCCCCCTTCTTTATTGTCCTGTTAAAGATATTCAACCAAAACATTAAAAATAGGGTAAAGCACTTTTAGAAAAGAATAAAATATGTCTAATATAGCAGATGTGATTGTTTGGATATATCTTTAAAATGCATGCTTTCAGGCTGTTAATGTTTTTGTAGGTGGTAAAGAAATCTGCAGCAGTGAACTCATGCAGCGCTCTGGGCAGCATGTCGGCTCTGAGCAGGAACATTGCTGCTCTGCTGGAGCTGCCCCTGGAGGATCAGGCCATCCCATCAGTCACTGCTGAGATTTCAGGTACCATTGGAACCTGATGTATTCACACAGGTTGTTGATCGTCCTCCTCTTAACTCTAAATCAATGACTTCTCAATAATGCAGAGTTGGGATGTAGCACTTTAATTTCCCAGTCTACTATACTACCACTCAAAGTGTGGACACGCCTCCTCATTTAATGGTTTTTCTTTCTACACTGAAGACATCAAATATATGAAGCAGCATATATGGAGTTATGTGACAAAGAAAAACTTAATAAATATATTTTAGTAGCCACTGTTTGCTTTGTTGGCAGAGCTGCAAACCCTGCTCTCAGTGAGCTTCATGATGTAGTCACCTGACATGGTTTCAGCTCACAGCTGTGCCTGTCAGGGTTCAGTGGTGGTGACACTGTTGGGGATTCATTCAAAATTGAAGGCAAACTGAAGCAGCATGGCTACCATCCTGCAGACACACGCCATCCCATCGTTTAAATTCCAACAGGACAATGACCCCAAACACAGCTCCGGGCTGTGTCAGGGCTATCTGACCAAGAAGGAGAGTGATGCTGACCAGACAGCCTGGCCTCCACAGTCACCTGACCTCAGTGGAGATGGTTTGGGATGAGATGGAGCGCAGAGTGAAGGCAAAGGACCAACAAGTGCTCAGCATCTCTGAACTCCTTCCAGACTGTTGGAAACCATTTCAGGAGACGACCTCATGAAGCTCATGGAGACGCCGAGAGAGCAAAGCAAAGAATCTGAAATATCAAAGATGTTTGGAGTTATTTCCCACGTTTTTGTTCACTACATATTTCCACGTGTTCATTCATAGTTTTGATGCCTTCAGTGAGAATCTACAATGTCTTATATGTTTTCTATTCCCATGTGAAGCACTTTCAAACAACTTCCTGTTTTAAAAAGTGCTATAGAAATAAATGTTACTCATGAAAATAACAAAAACCATTAAATGAGACGGTGTGTCTGAACTTTTGACAGGAGCACGTCCGTATTAACCTGACACTCTGTCCTCTTATGTCGGCAGTACATGTTGGCTTTTCTGCACATGATGAACACTTAAGATCTTTAAACTAAAAAACACTGAATCGTTTTGTTACACGTTCTTTCTCCAGTCCAACTAATCCCAGATAACTAGAAGTTAAACATGCTTCCCAGGCTCAGGAGGACAAATTACTCAAAATGATGAGACACCATGTACCTGCAGATGAATACTGAAATATCCACAACCCTCTAAAGTGTTTGATGTTAATGTTCTTCCCTGTACAGTCAATGTGGGTGTTGGAGAGCCAGACTTCGTGTTGGGTCAGCTGTATCAGTTGTCCACCAGTCTGGCTCCAGATGTGGCAAAGTCCTGGGCAGCCCTGGCCAGCTGGGCTTACCGCTGGGGCAGGAAGGTAGTCGATAATGCCAGGTTAGTGGACACACACACACACACACACACACACACACACACACTGTTGTGTATGCTCTACTGGTCTGCGTAATGTCTTCGGTGGCCCAACAACACAGTGGAAACATTACTTTTAATGGAGCTTCTCCTCTTCAGCCAAGGGGAGGGACTGCCTCTTCTTCCTGGGGAAAAGAAGGAGATAGAGGAGCTGCTGCCAGCAACAACAAGTGAAGAAGACAAGGACATGATCTTCAGTATTCTGGGACAGGCCATGTGTCGACCTACTGGTATCCAGGTAAAGTCCTGAACAGCTGATAGCACGTACATATAGTACACTGGGCGTAGTAGCGCTGCGAGGACACCAGCTGCTGCCTGAGGCGTGTGGACCTTGCGTCAGTTTCTGCAGCTGTGTTCACTGCTTGAAGAGGCGATGGCAGTTGCGTAGTACACTTCAGTAACAGGCTTGGTCAGTACATGTCTGTCAGAGGTGCCATCGGCTCCTGCAGGCTGCTGCTGGCACATGTAGTGATCTGATCTCATGCACAGGTGTACGTACTTGAACAGGGACTGATAGGTTTGTAGCTTGAAC